CGAAATTATCGTTGGCTTAACGAACCCCCAAATGAAGTTGGATTTGGACATGGAGGGGTTCATTTGAAAAATTTTGGCAATACAGACGATATGACAAAGTTTGTTTTGGAAAATAATGACTCATTGAAAATTTTCACACAAGACTATTTTTCATGAATTAAAATTCCAAGTGCAAAATTTTATGTAAAAATGGTTTTTGGTGACCCTGGAACTAATTTGCATGTCTTTATACGTAAACATGAACATTATGCTACTTACAAAATGTAATTTCGATTGCCAGATTGTCTTGTGGAGAAAACGTTAATTTTAGGATTCTCGGAGTATTACAAATTTGAACTGAAAAGTTTTACGTCAAAATTATCTTATACAATCGTCGAACTTGTTTGTATGGTCTTTATATATGTCAATAAGCATCATGCAACATTCAAAATGAAGCTTCAAGCCTTAAAATAATCTGGAGAGAGAATGATAATTTTGGGGTATTTGTTGATTAAAACTGATTTTCAGGACAATTTTTGGGTTTTGTAGAAGTTATATCCAGTTTTATTTTGGTTTGGTTGATTTTACTTTTTGTTTTGTTAGATTTTAATTTTATTAAATTAGAGTTTAGTTCAAGATTCAGTTCATGTGAGACTCAATTTGATATATATATCGAGATAAAGGGTTGAACAAAAAAATGAGGTCAACAATGATGTGTGCTTTTTTTATGCACTTAAAACTATTAATATTTGATAATCTTTTTGTTTACATTGGCCAGGTTGTTGGTACAATTACAATGGAATACCCGAAAAAAAGTTATAGAAGATTTCTTAAACAAATAACATGTCTATTTTAAAGGACTTTTAAGCAAAGAAGTAACTAAAAGCCAAACTAAAATTTTATGATTTTAGAACTGCAAAAGCTACCAATTGAGTTCCATCGCAATTGCATGATACTCCACAACTATTTTACTACTAATTAATACTCCATTATACTTATTTTTAACAATGTTGATATATTTTTTACGCTTTTTTTTTTCCTTAAAGCCTACTTATTACTTGATCATATGTTATATGAAGTTTTTTTTTCTATCCTTATCTTTTAATTATCTTAATTAAAAAATTATTTTAATAGTAAAGCATTATGACATCAAATCAAATTGATTCCATGATATTGTTGTATTTTTTCTCAGCCTATTTATTTACTCCAACTTATAACTTAATTATATTATTTATTATTCTTCTTTAGTTAGCATAATCAAATTGATACATCGTTAGTTAGCATAATTTTGAAAATCACTTTTATTCTTAAATATTGATATCAAAATGCTTTTGCTCTAATAATTTAGCATGCTCTTAGTCTTTGAAATTTTATAGAAAAAAATTGAAAATCAAATAGTTATAATAGCTCAATAACTTTCCAATATGAATGGATATTTTATTTTAACCTAAAGTCTTATTTTTATATTTCTTTTTAGAATTAAATAAACTTTATTTTTTAATTAACTATAATATTTATTTACTCGATCATATGTTTTATCAAGTTTTTCTCTCTATACTTCTCTATTGATTATCTTAATAAAAAATTAATTTATTAGTAAATTATTATGACATCACATTAAATTGGTCCCATGAAATTATTGTAATTTTTATCAGCCTATTTCTATTACTCTGACTAAGAACTTAATTATATTACCATTTATTCTTCTTTAGTTAGCATAATCTTGAGAATCACTTTTATTCTTAAATATTGATATTAAAATGATTTTTCTCTAATAGTTTAGCATGCTCTTAGTTTTCCAAATTTTATCGAAAAAAATTCTATATCAAATAGTTATAATAGCTCAATAACTTTTCAAATATCAATGTATATTTTATTTTGACCTAAAGTCTTATTTTTATACCTTTTTTTAGAATTAAATCAACTACATTTTTTTTAATTAACTATAATATATATCACTAAATATTTTGTTAAAGTTAGAATTCATTTTTTTATTAGACGACTTCATCTATAATGAATATTTCATTATTTACACTTTTAATTTGTCTAGTTTGATCAAAGTTCTTAGATATCTTAACCTAAATATCATATATATACACACATTTTATTTTCTTTTTTTCTGGAGTATCAAGCTTATATAGATTATAAAAACATGTGCATTTTCTTTACTTGCAACTTTTTTGCAAAACTTTTTACATTTTATAATAACTATAATTCTTAATAATATTTAATTTTAGAGGCTTTCTAAAATCCTAAATTTTCAATAGTCTTTCATATCTCTCTTCACCCCAAGTCTCTTTATCCATGTAAATATTTATTCTGGTAAAGTGTTTGTAACAATTCTCTTAATAAATTTAATCATTTTATAATGCATCATATTTGATTGAATTAAAGAATTTTAAACTGCCTCTCCTAGCAACCTTTCTCAAAAGATTGATAATGCATCTAATGTGCTTATATATTTATATGTATTCTAATGCATCTAGTTTAATTAAAATCCTTATATTATTTACCTTAGATTTTTTATGTTTATTTTTTTCTTCTTTCTTGGTAACAGAGCTTAGGATGAACCTAATTTTAAATTCATAGTAGCAATACCATTGCAATAGTGAAAGTATGCTTTAAGATATATATATATATATATATATATATATAT